AATGATCACGTTGTTTTGGTTACAGTCAGTAAAATTGGAGCTGTGGACTCTTAACTTTGAACAGACAATAATGTGGGGTTTTGTTTTGTCCCCACCTTCAGTGTTTTCTACCATAAAGCAGCACCAGGCTGACAGGTAGTAAAACAATAACCAAAGTGATTTTGAATTGTTATTTTATACTTTAAGACCATTTTGTTTTTATTGTTTTATTTTTTCAGGATATTATAATTTATTATATTAAATTGTAAAATGTTCTTCAGTTTAAAATGTATGTCATCCATTGGTTAAAAAATAAATGGGTCAGTTTTTCTCATACCTACTCATTTTCACTGTTTGACTTGATCAAGACTTTTCTAAGATTTTACACTAAAAAATAGGTAAAAGTGTGTGACTTGTACTGTTATGGTAACGGGTCAATATCGGTATCGAACAATTCTCAAAGTTGAAATATCGGTATCGTATCGGAAGTGAAAAAGTGGTATCAGGACATCCCTAGCTACTACCACATTAAGTTGTAGTTAAAGATCTGCACATTTCAACGAATCTTCAAACTCAAATGCTGGATATGGAACAGGATCGTGTTTTCCTGTAGGCTGGTTCCACCACCGATATTAAATGCTGTCCAGGCGACTCCAATAATGGTCTTCAAGAGGCATCATCATCCTGAATGTTTCAGAGGCTTCTCTCCTTTAACACACCTGATTTGAATGCAAAGGTGATCAACATGCTTCTGCAGAACTTGGTGACTTAATCACTGCATCAGGTGAGCTGAAGCAGAGAAACAAGGAAAGTATGCAGATTGAGCCGCCCCCCCCCACACACACAGAACTGATTGTAAGCTTAGGGACATTGTTGTTTATAAAACAAATGCAAACATAGATCCTGACTCATGCATTTTTTAATTTAAACATCACATTTATCCGTGGTTAGTTATACGATGCCCAAAATAAAGCAAAAGCACGATAGGTGTTGACTGAAAGTTACAAGTGTAGGCTAATTTAAACAGGTTGATTCCAATAAGTATTTAGTTCTAATAGAATACATCTTTACTGAAAACTAAAACTTGTACTTTTCTACCCCTTTCTCCCTTTCAATTGATCGATAACTGATGCTTATTTCTGTTATATGTTCACAAAGGTGAAACATATAAAATTTGCTTTGGGAGATTCATTAAAATTTGTCCAGTAGTCTATAATTTATTTTAGTAACAGACATTTTGCCCACCTGTCAGGAGACAATACATTACATCTGATGAAGTGTTTAAAAACCAACTCTGTTAAAACTAATTTGAGCATTCTGTGTGGAGAACAAATTGAGTCCTGACTCTAGCAAAGTGGATATTTTCCTCCCCTTAAAATATTTATTTTACACAACTATATTATTGTTTACATGGTAAATAAAACTATCAGTGACCCACATTAGAAAATGTTCTAAGTGTATTTGTATAACGGTGATATAATTTAAATGAGTCAAATCCTAAACGGGCAATCACATATAGTAGACACTTTTCAAATATGGTTAAATGTGTACAACTTTCAAACATCTGTACACAAAAAAGGCAGGAAAACTAAAACCTTTTCTTTGTTGAGAAAGTCTTTTCTCCCATCAGTGACCACGTGTTGCATGCTGGAGTCAACCAAACCAAAGACTGACAACAAGCCCCGGTGCCTTCCAAACTTAACTCTTCCTAACACCATTTCTCAAACCTAATTTAAACGAAAAGAACCCGATCAACCTGTTGAAACTAATTAGCCTTTAGGGCAAAGCCTAAAAGCACAGTGGCTTGCTCCACACACAGGCCGACCCTGTGTGTGGTCACCAGGGGGGGAAACTTTAGTCGGCCTCTCCGATGCTACTTGAGCTAGCTTGTGCGCTAGCTTGATGCGCACTAGTTTGGGGCAGAGCAAAGTGGGAGGAACATGTTCGATAGACACTGCCCTGTACTATATAATATGGCCCAGTTGCTCTTTTCTCTGGTACCACGTTTTAACCAGCGGCAACTTATGCAACACGACCGGGCCACAAAGCTCAGAGCGGCCGGTTACGCTTCAGCAGGAGTCCCTCATTCACAGTTCCCCACCCCAATATCATCCTCCCAAAAACATCAAGTCCAAAAAATGCAATATACAAAACACGTGCCAACAAATGTCACCAGTTAAAAAAAAGGCAAATGTTTTATAATTTCACAAAACTACTAGTTGGTTACGCAGTCAGTGTAAAAACGCAACCGGATAACCCGCTAGTTTATTTTCTTAAGCGCGTGTAGCGTTAACACATCATGGAGGAGCAAGTCTCAATGGCTGCTGCCGCTGTCTCCTAGCATTAGCAAAAAAAAAAAAAAAAAAGCGGAGCCGTCTTCCTCCGCCACTCTTTGTTCACGTCGCGATATTAAAATAAGGGCCACAAGGAAGTTCTGGGCGTTGGCCACCGAGGCGTTCGCAACCGGCGACCCTTACCTTCAATGTGTGGCCGGAGGCTGTAGCGAACGAACGGCAATGCGCAGTGAAGACGTCTGCCGGACGAAAGAGACTCCGCTCTGATGGCGGTAAAAGGGAGAGAGATCCCGCCGCCTGCGCTCATATACCTTCGACGTCATCACGTAAAAACGGGTGGTCACCGTGGCAACGCAGCTCATGGGCGGGGCCGTGTCAAAGGTGCCCCCCTTAGTGCAACAGAAGACTAATCATCATCAAAATCATCACGCTCATACGACGACACTCATCATTTATTTCTCATTTAGAAATTCAATCTTTTTTTTATTGACACCCATCTTTCTCATTACATTCTTAAAAGTTAAAAACACAATAAAAACAATAATTTAAGCTTCAAGAAAGCCATCTTTTCCCACCTTCTCACTTGACCTTTTCATATTATGCCTGATACCAGCCTTTTATGCCTCAATACCCCAGCCATTTTTTGTGCATGTGTGTGTGTAGACATACACCTTCAGTGTGACCTTCAGTGTGAACGTTTTATGTTGTTGATGCGACCTGCATGCTCAGAAGATGAGGTCACAGTCAGCTCGCTGTAAACAGGAGTAAACAGGTAGAACCTGTGGAGGCTACATGTTAGCATGTCAGTTCTGAAGTTGTGCTATCAGAGTCGGTTAAATGATTATCTGACATGCTTGTTTAATTGTTTACATTTTAACCTGTCTGCTTCATCAGAGCTAAACAACAAAAGAAATCTGAAGCTCTTATGTTTAATAGTTTTTGAGCTATAACCATACCCCTTTTTCAGATAAATTGGGGGTCCGGGGGTTGGGGGGGTATTGATTGGTGGGTCTGATGGATAGAGCTTCATCAGCTCTAAACAACAAAAGAAATCTGAAGCTTCTATGTTGAACACTTTCTGAGTTATAAGCATTTTTGCATGTCCAGACCCCACTTTTTCAGATAAATTGGGGGTCCGGGGGTTGGGGGCACTGATTGGTGGGCCTGATGGATAGAGCTTAATCAGAGCTAAACAACAAAAGAAATCTGAAGCTTCTATGTTGAACACTTTCTGAGTTATAAGCGATTTTGCATGTCCAGACACCCCCACTTTGAAAGGAGCCCCCTCCTCAAATATGGGGTCTATTGTAAAACCGTTGGCTGATGCAGTGTAGGTCAGACTCTTCTACAGCCCTGCCAAATTTCATGTTGATCGGTGCAGCCATTTTTGTGGTACAGTTGACCAAAAATGTCCGGAGAAAAAAATAATAAATAAACAAACAGTACTAAAACAATATGACTTCGCGTGCGGGGGTCATAATAATACAGAAATATTATTAAAAGTGAGAGAGTTTTACTTTTATTTTACTCACTGCTGAGTTGTGGCGAATAGTTGCCATCTTGAATCCCGAACTGAGTTGCTCCCACTTTTCAACAGGGAATTTCCACTGGAGGGGCGTTCCAGTTTAAATTTACCACTGTAAGTGGGAAATCCCCACTTCCCAGTGCAACTAGGCTGCAGCAAAAGTATCCAGTGAAAATGCAGCCAAACGAAAATTTTACATAGTGAATTTCACCAGCTGCTGATTTCTGTTGAAACCAGCGCAGCTCCACCTGCCGTCATTTCATGGGTAAAATATCAAACATGCATCACAGGAGATATTTATGGTCAATGTTGGTTTTAAAGCAACTTATTTTAGGACATTAATACATCTTTGAAGCTTTAGCAGGCCAGATAAAAAGCTGTGGCAGGCCATATTTGGCCCGCAGGCCTTAATTCAACAAGTTTTCTACATTTTGGGAGCTAACAAATTGCACATGATCTTTCTTTAAATTTTTACCAAAATTTATTTGGAGTCAAATTTGTCAGCTGGTAAATTTATCTCATAAACCACTGTACAGATTTGAATTAAACTTTCAGGAAATAAGCACAAGAACGTACAACTAATTAACTTTAAAGCCAATCCAATTCAAGATAGWCATGCAGAACTCTTAGGTTTCACAGAGAAAGGCTAGAGCCAGGATTTAAGCCCAGGATTGTTTTTCTTTGAGGCGACGACATTAACAATGCAGCCACCCTGCCCCTTTGTTACAACTAAACCATAATAATTGCAACTTACACTCACCGGCCACTTTATTAGGTACACCTGTCCAACTGCTCGTTAACACTTAATTTCTAATCAGCCAATCACATGGCGGAAACTCAGTGCATTTAGGCATGTAGACATGGTCAAGACAATCTCCTGCAGTTCAAACCGAGCATCAGTATGGGGAAAAAAGGTGATTTGAGTGCCTTTGACCACACCGGGTGCCACTCCTTTCAGCTAAGAACAGGAAACTGAGGCTACAATTTGCACAAGCTCATCGAA